TCTCAATCTGAACTTACTCTTTTGTGTTCAGATGTTGAGGAGGATATGCACTTCTTGAAAATGAATAATATTGTTGCATATCCTGATAAGATTCTGGTCTGTAATGTCTACTTTGATGTGCATCTTGAAAGGCTGAAACTTGTGTTACTTGTTCTTGGAAATGAAATTTTGTGTTTTGATTTGAATAAGTATTTATCTTGCGTATTTGATCATGGTCTCTTAGTTTTTGTTTTGATTGTCCAGGAAAGACAGGTGCATCCTCAAAGAAATGAGAGCATTGACCGTACCCAACAGCCTGAGATTTGGAGAGGCATTGTTGTCCAAACTAGATACCTTGGAGATGCAGCGATAGAGGTTCAGTGCGAGGATGATATCTCAACATTCAGAAGGTCTCTTAGTTTCAACTCACAAAGGCTTCACTGAGGCTTGGAATCGCATGAAAAGCTTCACGGAGGAAGGGGTTATGGATTTTTCAAACCAGAGGTTCTCCAGTTTGTCTATCTGCGAATACCATATTTCTAAAGGAGATTCAGGCCCAAGAAAGAAGCAGCCTGAGCCAAAGCCGATCATAGGTTTCAAGATGGATCTCTCAGATTTACATAAATACCGAAACCAGGAGAAATGGCCTTGGAATTATGAAGTTATGATTCATCCACCAAGTCTGGCTAGAACAAAGACAAAACAGCTTTCATTACTTGGCCAAGTAATCAGAGGTTATTCCAAAACTTCTAATTTTATTTGTGCTGATGAATCTGTTAAGTTTCATGATAGGAATCAGGTTACCAAAGACGTGTCCATAGAGCTTAAGTGTTTTCTTCCATCTTCTCATCCTGATGAATTGAAAGAAAATCAAACCGAAAATGCACCAAAGAGTTCAGCACCAGATAAACTGTTGGAGCAATTGAACAGCACCAAACCAGAGGAAATTCCTCAGCCAATACATTTTCAAAGCCAAAAACATTGTAAGGATCATGAGTTGATTGTCTCTGCTCATAATGAAAACGTTTTGAACCCTCACATTTCTTTGCGAAAACACGTCTTTACTTGGTACAAAAACGTTTTGGTTAAATCTTTTCATGATGTGTTTTCATTGAGCTGTGCCTTAACAGAAATTTGGTTTAGGAAAAAGAATGAACCAAAATTTCTTAGATCAGAGAATCATTTTGATTTAGTTCAAGATGAGAATTTTTCGGAATTGGTATTGTTTCATTCTTTTCCTAAAAGTTTCACAGCTGTGCATGATTTTGAAATTAGTAAACCAATTTTTTGGCAATCATTTTACTTGCTTTATGTTTTCCCACATGCTTGATGAATATCCTAAGAGTATGGATCATGCCTTTGATGTCTTAAGGATAGAGAAACCCTTTGATTATTTCTTTCGCATATTTGATGTGGCTTCTTTAGTTGTTTTGAAAGTACAAGTTAAGCATGATAAATATCAAGGAGAGCAAGCACTGGAGGACGACAGAGGTCTTATGCATCAGGAACTTGGAACTGGAAGTACTTGAGGAAATCAAGTTCAAAACTCCAAGGAAGTTTCTCCCCAAAATTTTCCTTCATTGAATTTTACATGATTTTAAAATTTGTTTTGTCTGGTTCATTTTCTTTTGATTCAGGTGAAATGGATTTGAGGTCAAATCCTTTTCAAGTGGGAGGGAATGATGCACCCATGTCTAGGGCACATGCAAATAGACATACATGGCTCGATCATAGGAACGAATAAAGATATATGTTCATTGTTTGAATAATATATTCCAAACCATGAGGCTTCTATGCATGAAATCACTTGGAAAATATTCTCAACTCAATTATGGAACTCCTCAAAGAAGAAATAGATCAAACGAAGTTCAGATGTGGGAGTTATGTCATTTACAAATCATATGATCTTCAGTTCTCGCGAATTGAGACATGTGCACATTCAAGTGAGCTGGACCGACCTACTTTGGAGCTGGATAATCTAAGTGAGCTAAGTTGCACTCCTTTGGAGCTGAGTGAGATATTCGACACTGAACATGGATCTGGTTTAGCTTCTGGGTGAAATGGACACTTATCAGCCCAAAGAAAAATTCATAAAAGTTTCATTATGAGTTTGTTTTACTCCAAATTCGACCAGCCCTTTCCTCAGTCCATTTCAAACCCATTCTCATCAAGAATACCAATAAAGAGTCAACAAATGAGTCAAGGTCGTAGCAGGCAAAGAGGCATTCAACAACACACTCATTTCTAGTCAAAAGTCTTAGTCTTTGTTTATATATTTTTTTCTTTTTTTTTTTGAAAGAATGTTAATTTTTTTCGAATAAAAAAACCCTTTTTACAACATGTGTGTTTCAGAATGTGAAAAGTTTCTTCAAATATAATAAAACTAATTTTCTAAATCAAAATAACTCTTTTGATCCTTCTCTTCTACTCCCTGCTTGCAAACCAAGTCACCATTGCAGTAGAGAAACGTTTTCCTCACGTACACAGCGATGATATGCGGTTCCTTATCCCTTTATCGATGAATTTCGTCAAGGCATCTGATGTTTGATGCCCCTCCCCATGCTTCCTCCTATTTCTCTCCCTCCATATAGTATGAGTAGAGCAATGAAAACTATATCGCAGTAGAAACATGTCCGTAGTGTTTCTTCTTTTATCCACCAATATTTCCAGAATGCAGTTCCAGTCATCATTGTACCGAGTACCCAGAAGATTTTTTGTTAATCCCTTCCAGATCAGCTGAGAATACGGACAGCTAAAGAAGAGATGATCCCGAGTTTCTATATGGCCCATACACATGACACACTGAGCACTAGAATTTGGACTCCATTTTCGCATTCTCACCCCCTGTAGCTAAACTGTCATGAACGGCAATCCAAGCAATGACTGAATATTTCGGAGTGGCTCCTGTAAACCATATCGCCTGAAACCAACTGACTTTCGGTGACTGTGTTCTCGTCAGCTGCCATGTGTGATACGAATTGAGATTTGGCCTGAAAGTGTCTCCCACTCCCTTCCAAAGCCAAATGTCAGTCTCAGAGGAAAATCCTTGCAGTCGAATGCTCATAATCTCCTTCTCTATGTCGATCAAACTAACTCTATGCATGCGGCTCCGATATACTTGAACTGCGTATTCTATGGTTGCATTCATAGGTATTCCCAGATCTATAGTCCCTCGAGAGCCAGTGATATCAATAATCCTTCCTAGCTGTGACCATTCATCGTACCAAACAAGGCCTTAGCTCCACTTCGTATTTCCATCCGAGTAAGTGAGCTTGCAATGTTCCTGTATTTTAAGATCTTCTTCCAAATCCACGAACACAAGCTACTCTTATCATTCGATTTCCAAAGGGATCCTTTCCTAATCAGATTGCGCTCTACCCATCTGACCCACAGCGAGTCTCCAGATAGAATTCTCCATATTAGTTTCAAGCAGCTCACTTTGTTTGTCTCCTCCAATGATCGCACTCTAAGTCATCCCTCCTCCCTTGGTTTGCAAACATTCTCCCATGATTTTTTTGCCTTTTTTTTAGCGCATTGCAGGACCAAACCAGAGGAAAGTTGAACATATTTGATCTATCTCTTTGATACATTTCTTTGGTAGTCTATACACATACATCCAGAAACTGTGTTAATATTATTATTATAGTCTCATTCTTATCAATGTACAATAGCTTAGGATTTCTATTCAGTGCCCATATTTATTATTATACAAAAATTAATTATATATTGATAGAGTAAATAAGGAAATTAAATTTGTTGCTAAGAATTTATTATGCAGATACAAAGAAAAAGATAATGATAACTGATTTCGAGTGAAGGTCCATTTTTTAAAAAAAAAACATGAATTGAGGTTGTATGATTTTTTAATATATTATATGAATTTTTAGTGATAAAAGTTCAAAACTATTTCTGAATCAGAAGAAAACACCTCAACTAATTTTTCAATATTGTGGCTAAACTTATAAATCGTTAACAAATGTCACCTTGCATCACAGTATTTTAAAGTTGAGGTTTTATTTCATAAAAAATTTAGTCGCAAAATTATTTTACAATTAATTTTTAGTTTACTAATATATATATATAGTAGGACCTCTATAAATTAATACTTGACAAATTTGATACAATGAATTTGATACAATTCACTAGTCCCAATGGACCGGTTCAAAATTTGATACAAATCGATAAAAAATAAAATTATAACTTTTAGAAATTTCTATGTAAATATAATGGTCTCATTAAAATTATAAATTAATAATTTATGAGTATACATATTTTATATAAGTAGAACATAACATTATATTATTTTTTATATTCAAAACAAAATTATCTTTATATTTTCTTAAGACTTAATATATTATTGATGAGATTCAGTAATTTATATCTAACCGTTTAAATTTTATACAATATGTATTATATACAACAAATAATATAATAAAATTATAATAAATGTAAAATTTCAAAAAAAAAAATATTTAATGTATATACACTAAAATTAAACATTTTTCTTCTTTTAAAATAATTATATCTTAAAATAAGAAATATAATAAATAATTTTTAAAAAATTAATATCTATATAAATTAATAAAATTTTAAAGATCTTCCCCACCCACCCCCTTTATCTTGGTTGAGTTATTAAAATTGTAAGTTATATGAAATAAGTCTGCTTGTTTTTTAGTCAACAAATCTACTTGTAATTATGACTACTGATTAGTTTCTCTCAAAATAGTTTCTCTCTTAAAAAAATTGCATGTAGTGTAAATAGAGATTTCTTTATGGCACAAAAGGAGAGCGAATCTAGAGAAAGTACATATGGAGATTTCTGACATTACAAAAATTGCAATAAACATGTTTTTTCTTTTTAAAAGATATGAAGTGTCAACCAATAGATAATATTAAAAACGTATTTGTTATGAAATCCTTAGTAGATTCTTTTTTTTTTTTAATCCTAAACATGCAAGTAAAACAATTTCAATATATAAAAGGTTGATGTTTCTCCTCTCCCTTACTACTCCAACATCAAAATGAGTTGTCCAGCTTTGAACCAAGACATGATATTAGAGATTCTTTCGTACTGTCCAGCTTCATCAATAGAAAAATTCAAATTCTTAAACAAGGATTACTACAAACGTATGTCTGAATCTTGGTTTATCAACCTTAATCTCTTCAGAGCCAATTCTATCTCCGGAGTTTTTCTCCAATACCAATATCATCCTTCAACTTTTAATACCAGTTTCGTCCTCACCGGAGATGGAGAAGTCTCGCTTGATTTTCTCCCCATTGAGGTTAAGATTGAAGCTTGTGATCCAAGTCACGGGATTTTTCATTGTGCTGCTTCTGATTACTTTATAGAAACTCCGTACTTTGTTTGTAAACCAACCACAAGAGAGTACCAGACTATACCGACCCCAGAAACTGGATACTCGACCCTTGAAAATTATTTTATACCAGTTGTATCCGGCTTGATCGTGACTAGTACAAACCCCTTAAGGTATAAAATCGTCAAGATCTCTAAGCAATCCAAAATATTCACAGTCATTTGCGAGGTTTTTGATTCTGATTCCTTTGCGTGGAAACGATTAGACGATATGGAACAACCAAATTACGAAGATTTAGTATTATCAAGCGTACCGGTAAGGAATAATCAGTTCTTGAATTGGTTAACTTCATCAGGCAAGAATGTGTTTCGGTTTTGCATGAAAACTGAAACATGGTCTCTCCACCCAGTTCCAAGTGATTTAGAAAAATATTATCTTAAAATTTTAACAAGTGTAGGAGGTAAGCTAGGCATAGTTGTTTGGAAACCGAAAGGTAATGTAGAAGGGACTTGGATTTTGGATAGCACTTATGGAAAATCATGGGTGAGAATGAAAATAGAGAAGAGTATAATGGAAGAAGATAAATTCATTAAACCTGTGTGGTTCCTCCGTGATAACGACGTCGTAATGTTGGGTGGTTTTGATTGGGTCAGCCTTTATGACATAAAGACTAATAGCATAAAATCTGAGTGTTTCAAGATAAATAATCTTCCAATTGAGTTTGCTCGTTCTTCTGTTTGTATCTATTTTCCTTTTTACTCTGACTACGAGAGACTTAATTTTGCTGAAGATCATGTTGAAAGATCTACTGGCGAAGGCCCAGAAAAGTAAGTGTAGGCAGAAAAAAAGAAAAACAAAATTGTATCTGAACAAATAAATTAACCGGTGGACGGAACAAAATTGTAATAGATAAATATTATCTTCCAAAAGATTGTTGTTGTTGTAATAAAACAATTTCACTGCGAAATAGAAGAAAAAATGCAAAACGCAAGTAAAAAAGAAAAAAAAAACTAATATCTGAACAAATTTAATTAACCTGTGGATGGAACCAAATTGTAATAGATAAAAAGTATCTTCCGAAAAATCATTGTTGTTGTAATAAAACGATTTCACCAAGTATTTTGCTAATCAACAAAACTGCGAAATAAAAAAATGCAAAACGCATGTATGCATTTTCTCAGACAAAAATATATACAAAAATTCATTAAGTGAAAAATGCGTTTTTTTTGCGGACAAAATTATATTGAAAAATATTTTATTCTTACTGTGTGTATAATATGTTATTGTAATTTTTTTTTCATAATGTTCCAAAGAATAATGATTACTATGTCGGGTCAGATTGTTCAACTAGAGATCTTCTTCTTCTGCTCACTGCCCTTACCCGTTGAGTAGCTCATGGAACAGAGCAAGAACAAAGATGAAGAGATTGAATTCTTCAAGACCGATAATTCTGATATCTGTTATCAGCTGCATGAGAACCCGCAGTTTCACCAAATCATTGTCAGAAAATCTGAAGAATCGTTTCAGATTCGATATATGCTGTCACTTATGAGTCATGTCGTCGTGAAAGTGTCCATCGGGATTGTTTTTGGAATTCCCGACCAACTTCTGACGGATTTTTGTTCCAACGACCTAGTACGATGAAATATTTTGTCGGGACTCTGTTGGGAATGAACATTCCCGACCAATTATTGATGATTTCTCCCTCAGGATTTGCTTATTTTTATAGTATTCTCACATCTGATACAACAAGTTGGGTTATCTTCTTCTTATTCTTTACAACATTAACCAAAGAAATCAATCCCTCAAAGCCCGTAAAGCTCTCGAGAGTTTTCTTCATGTTGATTGTTGAATGACTAGACACTCCAACCCATTGTTGAAGACCGTGTTAAACTTAAATTCGTTCACGAGACACTTGAAAGTGCTCACTTCATGAGCCTTCTCGAATGGAATCCCTCCATTACGAATTGCATCTTCCAAATGGTACCTGAAAAGAATCTCATTTGCGTGAGTATGCAACAACATTATCAATATAAAATAGTTCTTTCTAACTAGGTTTAGCTAGAACAAAATCTATAGAAATCATATAATTAATAGTATTTTTTCTGTTTTCTTTTTAAATACTTACCAGCTTTCCATAAGAACTTTTTTTGGTTCATAAGACAAAGAGCAGCAATCAAGACAACATCTTTAATGCTCCAATCTTCTTTACGTCGGGGGTTGCCTGACTAGGTCGTCATTGACACTCCTTTGAATCGGGTTGAGTCTTCATTTTTATTGGTTTTATTATATTTTTATGGATTTTTAGCTATTTGGCGGGATCCTTGAGCTGAGTAATTTAGAGTGGGATAAACCTAACCTTCAACAACAACTCTTTTTTTTTTTTATCAACAACAATCTCTCTATAGCAATTCAAATATCTATTGATAGACTTTACAATCTGTTGTTCCTTCTTAAACTCCATCTGTTTTTCCTCTTCCATTCTTCTCCATGAGCCAAGTCTCCTCAAAAATAATTCATCTCTCTTTAAACAAACGCTCCAGCCTCTCTCTAAGTCTGCTGCCTCATAAACTTTTTCTGGTGCCAAGCTCCTCCGCCAGCACCGGAGACCCTCCCCCCCCCCCTCTTTTTCTCTCCTCTTCTTTTCTCATATTTAGCTATGCCTCGTATCTTCCAGCGTAACAATATGCTGGGCGTCTCTGTGGTTGGTGGTGTGTCTCGGGTTTTCTGACCTAGATCTCAGTGCCTTTGGTCTGGATCTGGTGACTCCTACTATCTTTTGGAGCGATGGCGAGTTACCTCGGTGGTTGGTGTGGTGTAGGTTTGGTTTTCAGGGATTGTGGTGGTGGTTATTTTAAGATCTACTCTGCCTCTCCTCCACTCTTGAGAGTTGTGCAAGGTCGGAATGGTTCTCGACTCCCCAGCATCTTCGAGGTTTCTTGTGGTGTGGTGTCTCGGAGCTCTGGGTTTTTGGGTCATGGTGAGGCATTGATGAAGTCTCCGCATCTTGGTGTCTCTCTGACTCCCCATTCAGATCAGGCACCGGTGATGCGCGCAGAGAACATGTGGTCTCGTGTGCCTCCTCCTTTTTTCTTCCTTTGCGCTTGTTGGCTCCAGGTCTGCTTTCTGTGGCATCGCCTATGGCGAAACAGTCGCTCACCAGGATGGTGGCCCTCACTTTGATCCTCTTCGGCTTTGGAAATGGCTCCTATTTGGTTGCGCCCTCTCTCTAGTTTTGTCTTTTCTGCAGGTGTTCGGATATGCGACACCGTCGACGAGCCTAAGAATTATGGTCCAGTTCTCGGACGCAGCAGCTGCCAAGATTTGTATGAGCTTGTGGTGGTGAACAGGTTCCGGGAATCTTGCAGACTGTAGCTGTTTAACCTAGGCTGTCCAGTGCCATTTTTTGGCCGCTTGACCAGTGATGCTAGATTAGGCCTCTTTCTTCGGCTTGTAGGGTTGTTGATCAATTATGTTGTTTTTGTAACTCTCTGTTGTCCCGTCTTTTAGCATTAGTCATCTTTAGTTGTCTCAAGCTGGGTCTCGTTCACTTTTAAGATCATGTTTTAGAATGTCCAAGGATTTTGGTGGGTTCGTGCTGAGGATATGTGTTGTCAGTCGCTGTTGGGTTTGTGCTACGGGTCCATTTGGTCTTCGGATTTCATGGTAGCTCAAAGCGTCGTCGGGAGCTGTACCTTGAAGCTTCATAAGGAGAGTAAGTGATGCGCCCATGTATAGAGCACCAGGAAAAATAGACATACATGACTCGGTCATGGGAAGGAATAATGATATATGTTCATTGTTTGAATCATATATTCCAAAACATGAGGCTTCTACGCATCAAATCACTTGGAAAATGTGCTCAAATCAATTATGAAACTCCTCAAAGAAGAATCAGATCAAACGATGTGGGATTTATGTCATTTACAAATCAGATGATCTTCAGTTCTCCCGAATTGAGACATGTGCACAATCAAGTGAGCTGTGTTAGTTTAGTGAAGAACAAGTGTGAAGAACAAGAGAGAGAGTGTAGGTTGAATCCGTAACAAGGGAGAGAGAGAGTAGGGTTTGTAGTTTGCGGGAGAGAGAGAATAGAGTATAGGAAGGATTTTATTTTCCTTAACTGATTTGGTATGCATACAACATATATTTAAAGCTAAACTTGGTGAGAGAAGACAAGAAGANCTAGTTTTGCTTCTAAGGATGAAGCTAAACGAGTCTCACACTTGTCTTGCCTTCCAAGTCACATTAGGTTAGGTTTGGTTCCTTGAAATGCAAGACTGTACGGAATACCTTGTATTGCAAGCATGCGCATATCTTGACCTGAATCTTCATGTCTTTGCCTTCTCTATCTCTTGATCAATACTCCCCCTCAAGCTTGACCGTGTGGAACAAGTCAAGCTTGGAACCCACAAAGACTTCCCTCATTAAAACCTTAATATGCAAAACCCATTTTGGGACAAAAGCATACTAAGGAAAGAGTAGAAGCTCCATGGCTAGGAGGATCATGATCTGGTGATGTCAATGAGTCCAAGTCTAGGATAGATGGACTCACACACCTTAGTACTTGTGGCTTTGGTGAAGATGTCTGCTAGTTGATCTTCACTCCTTGTGTAACATGGTAGTATGACTCCTTGAATCATCATTTGCCTAACCTTGTGGCAGTCCACTTCTATATGTTTGGTCCTCTCATGAAACACTGAGTTTGATGCAATGTGAATGGCCGCTTGATTATCACAGTGCATTGTGATTGGGACAGTAATCTCAATG